AATTGTTCAGAATTTGGTAGGTGAAGACTTTTCTAACAGAAGTGTTCCGTCATGTTCACTCCACCTTTTTGTCAGTGCCCATAGGTGGTTTTAAATCTTTTCCATTTCTCGAAATATTATTCATATAAATGCGATGGAAATGTTTGTGATAACCAACACAGCGCATTGGACAGCTGTTTCGTCCTGTTTGGGACTCATCAGCAGTACGTACTTTTTGTGTCCCTGTCAGGACTCGAACCGCAATCAGTCGGTTCGGTACTTCAAACCACTACCCCTGAGCTACACGGCCGACGGTCATCACCTAGTGTGAATGGCTCAATCATTTCAGAGTATCAAGTTTGGATTAGCCCATTCGATTGTCCAGAGGCACCAGGTACTCAAACAGGACAAAATAGCTGTCCAGTGCTCTTTGTTGGCTATTACAAACATTTCCATCGCATTTGAATGCATTATCTCTTCGGGAATTAACGATCTCCCAAGGAGTGAAATCCACACCCAAGACCATCAACAATGCCTGGTGCGTTTGAACAATCGAAATAGGTAATCCAAGCTGGATACTCTAAATTATTCATATAGTTCTAAGTGATACGCAGGATTTCTCAAATTCATTTTCAAACACTGAAATTGCCATGATGTGTTTTTCAGCATTTAAGTAAAACTAATTCGGGTTGAAGCTGGTTTCTGGGTTCCATTCGTTGTTATGGTGAAGAGAAAAGGAAGCTAAAAACTAGCTATTCGAAACTCGTACGCAATTTCTATTCAACGTGATCAACGTCTGGGCTAATTCCCCGCATGCTTCTATTGAATAATCGGAGTGCATCGTTTGTTAGACACTGCCAAGCTTGACATGTAGCACCTCAGTGTTGACCTCGCAACCAACCTCGGATCGCTACGCGCTGCAAGATCGATGGGGATAGGCGTCGCGCACTTATGATTAAGTGCTACCTAAACTTGACCTCAGGAGGTTTACTGGATAATACAGATATCCGGTTGCAGACAGGATAAGAAATTCAGGCCGTGTCGAATGTTTGATTAGTTGCGCTGCCGGCTGGTTGAGTTTGGCCTTATTTAGTTGGAGTGATGTTGTTGGCATGCGCGCTCTCTCCTACGCAAACTATGTGAATGCGTTTTAACATGGCAATGATAGAGACGGAATTAAAGTTACACCCGTTTTCGGCGTTATGGCTTTAGTAAAGGATACGCTGCTTAGTGTAGTAAGTACTATACAAATGAATTAACAAAACTTCATCACACATCACCGAGTGAAGGGATTCTTTTTGCTGATTAGGTATGGGTATCTGTTTCTTTTGTCATTCTTAAACTTGTCCTGTTCCTCCCCATATGAACTGGGTCACAGAAACCATTTTTACCGTTATGTATTCTGTTTCTCTCACTCTAAAAGAATACCACTTTCTAGAAATCCTCCGGTCTACAAACATTCTTCGATTAAAAAATAAAATGTTTCCTATTCGATTCACTCCGTTTTCCTTAAACATGGCGGATAAGTTCACAATATCGCCGTTCAAACGGTTGCACTCCCGCGAATACAGACCACTTAACCGCAGGCTTTAGATCATGTGATCAGTCTTCGATCTTGCTCTTTGACCCATTAATTTTATGCACTTTTCCAGTCCCAAATTAGCTCTGATACTTTGTCCCGTAGCCGTGTCATGATCAGATTCGGGTAAATGTCATATGACAAAGAATTGTTCAAAGAGTTTTAAAATCCCTATACAACAGTGAGAGAGGGGAACCGAAAAGCTTCTAATTACTGAATCGTGGTGAACTAGTTTACGTTGTTTTGCTGAGTCCACGAATAAGATAGATTTTTTATGAAGGGGTTTTTAAAATTATGGCACAGCATGAACTCTGGAACCATTCATTTCAATGTCCGGTGTTCCAGAGTTTCAACAAAGTTGAAGCTATTCGTTTATGAAACAGCTGAATCCTTCAAAAGATCTAAGTCAATGCGACTTGAATTTGTGTTGCATCTATTCAGTGTTCACTAGACATGTTATGTTTTAAGTAGCTTTGTTATGAAACTCAAAATCTGGAATTTTGATCATTCGTCTGTAATGTAGCTATCACCACAGCGTGATTTCTTGTGCCAATCGCGCCATACTGCTGATCGTTCGAAGTTTTCCATTGTATGTAACAATTGATTTGTTGAGCAGTAAGCACAGTCATCGTGCAGTGGGGTTACTTTCTGCTAAGACAGCTGGATTCTATATATCCCAAGAATGTAAAAGGAGCAAAAGGTCAACAAATTTCTATGGGTTTTCCCGGTAGGTAGTCTGTCTCATATGCGTGATCTACAGAAAGCTGTTCAAGTATATTCCGTTATCTGAGTGGGCTCCGATACACTGGTGTTGTCGTTTGTTTTTATTTCTCACCAAGAGGTGATGAACATTAAGGTATAGTGTTGACTCAGATGTGCACCACATAAAGCGGCCTAAAATACATCATTATGGTACGTAAGCTCTGGGTCTCTGGTTTTATTTACTGCTTCATAAATTAATCAAAATTACTGGCAAAGTTGGAAATATTTGTATGAAATTCAGACCGCCATCACAAAAGGTGGTCCAATTACTCTATATTTACTACTCTCACATGTGGATGTGATTCAAGTAATTGATCACATCTGAGCGTCAGGATGATTGGGTGGTTTTTAGGATAAAACGAGACTGAACAAAAAGTCGGTACTGATGATTGAAAAAGTTCCTGATGACCGTTAAACACCATCACCACCGGGTTTATCATCTTCAACTGCCTCGAATTTTCCATGAAATTGAAGTGGATTGTAATAGAAAGCGTGATCAATACAGCCCAAACATAGAACCATGTGAACTCGTGGCCTCCTGATGTCACTGTTTGCTAGATCTACGGACGATTCCACAACCGTAAAGAGTTACTGCAACAAATCATTGTTCACAAAGTGTCTGAATGAAAATTTTATCATGGGAAATAGTGGCAATCGGACCCTGACACCCAGTCACAACAAAAATATCCGGGGACATAAGACTCCGGAATGCGGAAAAGATAAGGAATTTGTAGAATGAAAATAATAAAAGCGTGATTATAAACCCATTAATCACCTGGTTTTATACGGGGCACTCTGCTGTATTGTTTTGAACTGGTATGAATAAAATTCAGGTTTTACTTTTTGAGGTGGTTAGCTAAAGACGTGGGCCAACTGGTCAGACAAGAGATTCTGAAGATTTCGCACATGTGCAATATCAACTACGACCAATTGAAAGCCTTGTTCTTTGAACTTCGAGAACGCGAGAATTTTGGTTTTATTTATGCGATCGATTTTCTTCCACCTGCTCGAATTGTCGCATTACCAACTGAGGCCAAATGAATTATTTTGAAATTTAATATACCATACTTCAAAATCGATGAGTCGATTGTTCAGGAAGTGCTCTCGATACACATATTTTAGTGCACCGGACACAAATCACATTTTGGAATGGAATCACAGGCGTTTGTATATATATATATACCTGAACCAATTAGATTATTCAATCTGCAAAATCAAATTCTTATACTGATAAATCATAAAAGTCCATTGATGCAGTAAAAAAAACTATCAATTCACAAAAAACTTTCAGATGCATCCTTCTTCTTTTGAAAGTTTTTCATTATGGTCCTGATTGGTATATCCGTCCATTTTGCGTTCGGGATGGAGATTGTGCTGTCATACCCGTCTTTGGTATTTCTCTTTGAGGTTCTGTTACACTGATTTCAACATCCTCCTGAGCGGTATTTGGATTTTTTCTTTCTCCGTCTTCATCGTCATTCTCTTCCATTTTCCTCAAATGAACTATATTTATCCGTATTACTTATTGACCCCAGCTTACTAGGTACGATTTATTTTGTTGCTCGCGATATCACTTCTACCTTTACCCACACCTTCTCAGTTGGTTCCAGTGGTTGAACCAAAACCGTGTCTCCTGATCTGAGTGAGCACTGAGGTTTACCACCCCAGTCGTAATACCTCTTCTGTAGCGCCATGCGTTTCCTTAGTCCTGACTGTATGATTATTGATGGCGTATTCCGTGGCTGTAGTAACTGGTGGCTAATGGGTAGAACCGTGCGTCTGCGTCTGCCAAATAAACGTTGGTTCTGGCTGGCTTCCATGTTGGTCGACGGTATGTTCAGTAACTCGAGCGAGCCATTAGTGGGTCGCTACCATCCGCGCCGCATTTTTTTGATAAGCTTCTTTGCCTGTTTCAGTGCGCTTTCTGCTTTGCCATTGGACTGTCTATGATAGGGGCTAGTAAGGTGGTGCTCAAAATGCCATTGTTCACTGAATTTCAGGAATTCGGCACTACAAAATTGGGGGCACCATCGGAAATCATCTGGAGTGGTATTCTGTGTGGTGCGAAATGAACGCGCAGTTTATCGATGATCTCCACCGAGGTGCTGGATAGCAGTAAATCAACTTCGAAAAAGTCGCCGTTATCCAGAAGTTGTCTTTTCCGTGATAAAAAATATCCAGCACTACTCTCTGCCATGGTCTATATGGTATTGCACGCATATTGATCGGTTCCGTCATTTGTCATTGAATAAAATTCCTGCCAATTTCACAATTAGCAATCAACTGTTTTAACTGTTCTGACATACCCGACCAATAATATGTCTCCCTGGCGACTGAGGCATCCGTTAATACCGGCGTGAGAGCAATGTATCAAACGCATTACTTTTTGTTGAATCGCTTTGGGCACGACCAGCCTTTCACCACGGAAAATTAGTTCCTCGTGAACGGTTAGTTCATCTCAGAATTTGAAGTAGGGCAATACGTCCATCGGAAGGGCTTTTTTATTTTCTGCCCAACCACGAATGATAACTCGTCTGAGTTCTTGCATGCCGGATCATCAATAGTAGCAGTTCGTATGTGAGACATCTCCAACACAATATTCCGCGCGCCCCTTTAACGGCTGCGCCACAATTTCTCACCACCGTTGCGTTCTGGAATTTATCTACCCAAATTGCTAAATATGCGTGCTTTAACCATATACACAAAGGAATTCATGTTAAAAATTAAGGATGTTATTGTGAAAAACCATACTGCCATGTTTGAAGTGCCAGTTGCTAATCAAGCGCACAAATACTGCAAACGAGGAAAACGCATTCGTGCCGGTTGGCAAACTGTCCTTGGTCGTACCACTCCCAGCAAGATGACCGTACCTACCATTGTGAGTACCAACGTCCGTTGTGGTTAGGAAGCTTCCGGACTTATCCTACCTGCTCTAGCGAAAGGAATTTCGCACCTCTTGTGTCTTGTGTCTTCAGGAATCATGGCTCAATGAGGATGTGGACGATTCCGTGGTCCAACTGGATAATTTCGTCTGTTTCAGACAGGACAGATAACGGTGTGGGAAGAAGATGGGAGGCGGTGTGATCACTTACATTAATTCCAACTGGTGCGGCAAGTTCGAAGTACGTTTTAAGCATTCCCAGAATGGAGTTGATTGCGTGACTGTCGTCTGTCACCCCAAATTCTCCCGCTTTCCTTCTATTGCCATCATTAACTTGTACATTGCACCTCAGTGGAGATTGTCAGAAATTGACACATTTTATGATAATTTCCTCCCGATTGTTGCCCCATCTCTTGCTGACAGACTGTATCTAATAGCTGGTGACTTTAACCACGCACCCCTGCACCCTTGATTGTGTCTAAACCTTAGTGACCTGATTATTGAACCGACTAGAGGAAATTCTCATCTAGACCACATAATCACAATCCACGCTAACACATTTTTCACCAAACAGTTCTACCCCTTAGGCACCAGTGACCACAACCTAATCCTGATCAGACCTAAGATTTACTCACACTCAGGATATTTCTCTTTTACTCAACCCAAACCCATCAAGTTCCGTCAGCCAGATCTTTCCCCAGACAATATTACCTTGATTGGATCGTCTCTTAAGG